TGGCACGTTTCCAACTGTGTCAACATCTTAGATGAAGAAACAGATCTCGTCCTTACAGTGTTGCCCATCCAGCCATTTTTTTCACACAACAAAATAATCAGTCTTAAAAGCAATCTGAACATAACACCCCACTGCTTAAAACCATTCAATAACCTTCAAAACACTTGACACAGTATAAGCTGTTAAACTAAGTGTACAAAACCCAGTATGCTTTGGTACTGCTTACTCTCATATTTTATCACTTTTCTCTCCTCTCACAGTTTATCTTGTCCTTACTCTCAGATCCTATGTCCTTCTGCCTATCATTGGAAATGGAGACACTCCACATGCGTAAAAGTATTATCTTCTCCCAGACCTTTTCATGTGCCTTGTATCAGTCACACTCACAGATCCACTGATCCCAAAACACCCCTCAAATATTCCACTGCCAGTCTCTGTACCCACCGTATCTGTCTGCATGGTTCATATTCATCCTGCAGGTCTCACCTCTAAACACCGCTCCAAGTGCTTCTTGGTGTCCTCCAGCTCCTCCTGCATCTCTCTCTTAAACTTCCCTGAGTTTTCTGCATGAGCAGAGAAGTTTCATTCCCATTTCATTCCTAGAACCTGGAACAATAACTGGCCTACAGTAGCCCCCCCCCATTATATTTTGAATTAATATGATGAGTTTACATAGATAGAGACGCTAGCACATACGCACACGGATATGATAACAAGGGACGTTACTGATTAAGCATTCAGGATTCAAAAACAACTCCCTGAGGCCCCATGTGTGCAAGTAGAAGTAATTTTCTACTTACAAGCTGGGAATGCGCCCATTCATTCATTCAGCATTTATCCACACTGCTTTGTGACCATATGAAGCTTGCCCCAAGGACCGCAGATCAAAACTCTGAAAGTAGGAACTGATGGCCTTTTAGTTTTACCTAAATTCCTCCACACTGAACTCCCAGGTGCTGGAAGCTAAGTGGAAAACAATGACAGTATGGAGCCAGAATGGTACAGAGAAAAGGATGCTGGGAGATGAGTCATTTGCCTCCTGCCCGCAGGGAACTGTTTCCCCAGGGGCGGTGTGCAGCAGGTAACTTTGAACTACCTCCAACAAGCAAAAAGCAGCTATCAGTAGTGCAGGAGGTGTCCTCCTGTAGTTATACTGGCTGTGTGTTTTTGAACAGTGCTTTATTTTACTTTTGTGTTCTTTCACCAATCGATTCTCTGTCATTCACTATCTGCAGTCATTCAGTGCATCACCCCAGGTTATTCTGTGAGGGAAGGGATGGGAGAATGATAGTGTCAGAAAATGCAAGTCCAGTCCTGGCAGTGCTGATAACAGACCGTGCGACCTTGGGAGGCTGTTTGTCTTTCCTTGGTCTTGGGTCTTGGTCATTTAATTTATATAAATGTCAGCATCTAGATCAGGACAGTTAGAGACGTGGTTGCAATTAAGTACAATCTTGCCTAAAGAAACTGTCCAAAAAGTTGGAACACTTCTTTTTTTTCCCCACTTGGAATAAAGTTGAAAACATCTATCGACCTTCGATGACATTTGTATTTGTCTTTATTAACATTTTTTAAATCTTGGGACAAAATGTTCTTTCCTTTCTTTTGCTGATGTGATGTATTGTCCTCGGTGCTTTAAGAATACTTTGTTTGTTGTTCATGGAACTGCATGCATTTCCCAGTATTCTCTATTTCTCCCTGATAATTTGTTGGCCAGATGTTTCTCTCTGATGTTCCTGTAATGGAAAATATAACACAACATTCAAGGAACAATTTTTCCCCAGTACAGAAAACTTGTGTCCACTGCTTTACTTCAGACGTAAACTTTAAAAAGGTCGAGGGATGCTGGAACACAGTGGGGAAAGCCCAGAGTGGACTCAGAGAGGACAAGCCAGCTTTACATCATGTGGATACATGGAATCCAGGCTTCTCTTGTCCTTCCCCAAAGAGAACACTGTCATGTTTCAGTTTAAAGAGTTCTGTCTGGCTTTGCTGTTCACAGACTATGTAAAAGCTGACGTTGGTTTGGGCCTCAGTTTCCACAACAGTGCAGTGAGGATACTGGAGTTAAAGAAGGATGATTAAGCCTGTCTTTGTAAGCTTGAATTTTATGCAGAATAAAATATTCATGTCATGTGGAAAGAAGCCAGGCAAGAAAGAGTCCATCCCGCCTAATTCAAATTTTATAAAGTGCAAGAACAGGCAAAAATTTGTACACGGTGATAGACGCCAGCATAGCGGCTCCCCCTGGAGAGGGTGCCGACGGGGCTGAGCAGGAGGGGCCGCCTGGGGGCCAGCAGATAGCTTCGCTCCAGCGAGAAGACACCCAGGTCGCAGCCCCATGTGAGCCCCGTTCGCTCCGATAGATGCACATTTAAAATCACCTTCAAGTAAACCATAAAACAGTATACACAATGATTTAGGAATTCTAAATATGTGTAGGAGGGTATTTAATTAATATAGATACTATACAAATGTATCGAAGGTTTCTGTCCTAGGATACTGCCTCAGATAGTAGGATATTTTCCCTTCGTGTCTTATACATTTTATAATTTTCCATTTGGATTACATGTTAACAAACGATGGCAAAAAAATTTGTTTTATTTGTTGTTGGACTTCAGTACATATTGAGTCTGATAGACTCTGTAATTAACAAAGATGAGTAAAATCAATATGACCAGCAATGGAGCTGCTATTCTAGGTCAAAGATTTTGAATGGAGAGAGAGATTCCAGCTCACTCCATGTATTTGTCTTAGAGCAAATGTCTGTTTTCTTCTCCATAGTACTCCTAGTGCCTTGAATGGTCCCTGGCACGTCGTAGGATGCTTATTAAATATGCGTTGAATGAGCAAACACATTTCAAGGGCACTAGAATTCTCACACTGGGCTTGAGTATGACTTGGAAGCAGACAGTGAGTATCCTCTGCCTGTAATGGACTTGTGTTTGCCTCTGCCAAGACAGAGCATGAATGACTAATGGGGTATTCTCTGAAAGAAAAGCCCTCCTGGCTTGTAGCATGGCGGAAAAAAGATGACATTTAATGTCCAGAAGTTTCGCTTGGAATCTTGACTTAATGGCATTCTCTTTTTGCCTGGCTGCCCAAATATGTAGAGTCCAGTTCTCTTCACCGGAAAAACACAAATGCTTCTGAAAGTGATTGAGACACTAGTAGTCAGCCTTTCCTAGGCTTTCACTATGGTGCACCCTTTGTGCTCAGAGAATTGCACATGTCACCATATTTCTTGTATGTGAAGCATGTGAATTAGCAGAGAACTCAGTACGTATCCAGTTCTTCTCTACAGTGATTGAATTCTTAAGACCATTCCAATTAACTCTCTATGTATTTTATATAACCTACTTTTTTCTGTAAGTCTTGTAAATTGTTCTACATTCTATTCCGTTGTTCTTTCCCTGAAGACTTTAAATTACTCAAAGGAATGAGCCATTCCCTTCTTGAGTTATATAGTTTATTGAATTACCAAGTCTTAAGTGCAGTTTTGATGGTATGTGATCTCTGCCAGAATAGATGCAGTATTATCTCTGATCAAGGGTCACTATGGCTTTAGGATTCTTTGAGTAAAGTGGAATTGTGTTCTTCTTTTATGTATACCAAGCTCCATTTTTTGACAGCTCTTTGCCCTCTACGCTCTTCGACTTTAACCCGTTCTCTGGAGCAGCGTAGTTCTCCAACAAGCTTGAGATGGTTGACTGTCAAAACCCCCATAATTATGTCATGCAGGTAGCAAGTCAGGTGACAGTGGCTCTATTCTATGAGTGGCATATTACAATAGATGCAGGATTTCTTGACCCAGAGAATGGGGTGGAGTTTGGAAGAGATTCACCTGGGCTGATTAAAGAAGGGTAGAACAATTGTGGGGCTTTCAGGAACTTATGCCAACCTAGGAGCTGCCTTCTTAAAGAGCATGATGAATCAAAGTTTGCAGAGGAGATGCCGTAAAGGGAGGGAAATGCTGATGGAGGCTCCTTCCGGAAATGTGGGCTGGGGGAAGAAGGTCACTGGCTAAGCGGGCGGGGCAAGGTGGGAACTTGAACCACATTGACAGTGGCGCACAGGTAGGAACCGATGTCCATTCAGTGTTCCCTAAATTCATCTATATGAAAAGGAAACTGGTATTTCCAAACAGGTGGGAACTGATATCCATTTAATTTTACCTAAATTCTTCTATATTAAAAAAAACTGATACTTTTGGAGTGTCTGCTACATGCCGAAGTCCGTGCTAGGCATTTCCAGATGTTATTTCATTTACTATTCAGCGCCGCCTCTGAGTTAGGGATTGCCAATCGAGATGAAGAAACTGAGGCTAAGGGACGTGAGGTGGAAGGAAGGAGGAAAAACGTACAGTAACCTTCCTCATCTGGAGCACAAATGAGAATGAGGCATGAGTTGTTATCTATTTCTTTTTATTTTTTTATTTGTTGGTTTCAAGTGTACAACTCAACAAAACATCATCGGCACAGTATCGTGCACCCATCGCCCCAGGCAAAGTCTCTTTCTGTCCTCTATTATCCCCACTTTGCCCACCTCCAATTGCCCACCACCCCCTTTCTCTCCGGCTGCCACCGCACTGTCGTCTGTGTCTGTACGCTGTGTGTTTGTGTACGTGTGTGTGTGTAATCCCTTCAGCTTCTTTCATCCAGCCTCCCAAACCCTCCCCTCTCTGATAGCGTCTACCTGTTCCATGTATCCATGCTTGTTCTTCTATTGTGTTCATTAGGTTATGTTGTACATTAGACTCCACATAAAAGTGAGATCATATAGTGCTTGTCTTTCTCTGACTGGTTTATTTCACTTAGCATAATAATCTCCAGGTCCACCCCTGATGTACAAAAGGTAAGAGATCCTCCTGTTTTATGGCAACATAATATTCCAGTGTGTAAATGTACCGCAGCCTCTTTACACAGACTCCAAACTCATCTACTGATGGGCACTTGGCTGTTTCCAGATCTCGGCTGTTGTAAATAACGCTGCAGTGAACAAACATTATGAAACACTTCATGAATTTGTGCGTCATCCTTGCTCAGAGGCCATGCTAATCTTCTCTGTGTTGTTTTAATTGTAATATATATGCTGCCAAAGCAAGCACAAGGCATGAGTTTTTAACAAGCACTGAAATTTCTCTTTCCACCCCCTCCTGGCTTTTTTTTTAATGTTCCCAAAAGGCTGGGATTAGGAATCCTCCCACAGCCCATCTCCCCCGAGAACGTTTATAGCACCACTTCTGATTTACAGATTTGACCCAATGGCATAAGGCACAGCTTCTCCCCTTTAAGAAAGAACAAATAAGAATGAAGTGTTAGATTGCATTGCTAATTATATATTCCGTTCAAGTGTCAACCATCTGTTGCAATTGTTTAAAAAGCAGACATAAGTCAACTGTTGGGGTGAGATGTTTACCATTGTAAACACACAGAAGTTAGTGACATCGGTGGAGATTTGTCTCCCTGGCAGGTGCCTGAGGCTGCCCTGGGATTCAGTTGATGTCTTTGGAAGCCCGCCTTCCTGTGAGAGGGTCAGCGGTAGCTCCAGATCACTGATGATTAAGTACGAGTCATACTTCAGAACAGCACTCTCAATTTTCGGAAAGGGATAACTGAGATACAGTGAGAAAAAGGCACTGCCTATTCTACACTTTAAAATTTCAGCACTTACAATTTTCTGCAGAAAGTTTGCGTTTGCACATAGGAAGACTCTCCCTCAGGTGTATTCAGTTGCTAAGGAAAAGGACAGGATGCTGTTGTCTCTAAGTTAAATGCATAGAATCGTACCCAACAGATCACAATGTGTAGAATATGTCGTAAAAGTACAGTTAATTGTAAGATGGGTGGAGGTTCCTTCTGACATGGCCAAAAAGCCCAGAAAACACGGCACATTCCCCTTGCTCCAGAGCCATGCCTTTCTTTTTGTCGTCGATTTGTTCGTTGAATAAGCTGAATGTTCTGCCAGACTTCTGATAATTCTTTAATGAGAACAACTGGCATCAGACGGCAAGTTAGTTTCAGTTTACATCATGGAGTCAATTAAAATGCAGCTAGAAGGAGGGCGGCCCAGACAAGGAAAACTGTCTTCTTTATGACCTCGCCCGTTGTCTCTCTGAGTAAATGATCAAAGTGATGTTTAACCTCTCAGGTTATTAAGTCATTCTAATCTCCAGGACAACCGGGGGAGAGTTGCATGGGCATCGTGAGCCGGGCTGCCCCCAGCCCACTTTCGCTGACGTCTGCAGTTACTCTCTGGTGTCCCGGATTTGGGGTCATCCCCCAGGGAGGGGGACTTCAGTATCAGCCCCTCACATTGCACAGACTTCGTTCTCTTTCATTGGTTTGAAATCTGCTTCCTCATGGTTCTAGGATTTGTTTCTAGTTTTGCCGTCACAAGCAATGCATTCCTGGAGCACCTCCTCCTGTTTTTGCTCATCCTGTAATGCTAATGAGGACTTCGATCCTCTGTTTTCTATTCGAAATTGCAAAATCCCTTTGCTCGTTCCTCATGAACTTTCTTATTCAGACCATGGGGCCGTTTCCACAGGAAACATTCCAGTTCAGATGAAACGTTCAGGTTCAGCCTATGGAATTGGTGAGGGACAGTTAATGGTGCTAATAGCATCCCTCTTTCTGAGTTCCTGACTAATCGCATGCATGCTCAGGCAGCTAAGGATAAGTGATGATTTCCGATTAATTACTGTGCCAGGCAACTGTACACATTTGTCATCCCAGAGTTCAGTTGGATACTGACTTTTGTAGCCATCTGCATGCCTTTTCAAAAACAGGCATGGAGTAGAGTGTGAAATGGGTTTTACATCTCAGCTCAAGGTTTGCCAGTTACATTTGTGTGGGCCCCTGAAATCAGACCAGTGTTTTCCCTGCCAGGTGGAGAGGCCCCAGGAGTTCACAGAAGGGCAGCAGCACCCCAGGGTGTTTCCACAGCACCGCCCCCTCCGGGGGGCTGGGATTGAAGGTCCCTCTGTGTGACTTAAAAAAACTAAAAATAGTCCCCCTCTTATAGCCCGACAGGAAAATAAATGAGAACAAATTATTGTAAGAAAAGTTATTGATTTTTTTCTTCACATTATGCTTAGTTTTAACGTCAGAGCTGCTCTGTTAAACATATGGCCGTAAATACCTCAACCTCATGACTATTTTTATTCTGTGGCCTTACTATTTCTGTGCTGCGAGCACCACATCCACCCCAGGGTATCTCCTCGTACAGACACCCCTCAGATGACCACCTCACCCCCTGGACCAGAGGGTGCTGCAGTAAGTCACCGTCCATTTTATCATCTAGAGGAATAAAACTGTCAATGTGTCTTCTTTAGTTTTATGCACTTAGTATGCATTTGTGTTACCTCCCCCAAAGATTTAAGGTAAGCTATAACAAAAGGCATACAACAAAATAATTTAAAAAATGAGAGTAAGAAAATAGGACTTGGGGAAGTATAATTGAGAGTAGAAATTCAGAGTTGTGAGGAGTGAAACCAAGTGTCCTAGCCATAAGGGGTTACACTGTGGCCACCTTCCTCTTCTTTGTCCCCGGTCTTCTTAGAAGCCAAACAAAATAAATAATATTTTATGTCTTCATCACAGAAAGGAATAGGGTCATTATTTTTCTCTTAGGTGTTTTCACTTCTAGATGTAGTTTGTAATCAGTGTAATTTATTTTCAGTGTCCTGGTTTTATTTTGGGCTCTCTTTATTAGAGTTACGATGTAATGTCACAGTTAATGTGAAAAAGAATAGCTGGTGTTCCAGGAAAATACCCGGATGTGACAAATACAAGCTATAGGAAGTGAGTGGGGATGGTAGAATCGGCGTAGCTCAAATCCATAAAGCTTAAGTTCTCCGAATTTTCTCGATGAGAGCTTTCGTTGTCAGAAATGTAATGCAACCCCAAAGGCAGGCCTCTAAACATTGTCATCACAAAGTCCAGATCTCTTTAGATAATCCCCCTCAGTTCAGATGAGCGTGACATTCTAACTGCCCTTCCTAGAGCGACGTGACTCTCACACACAGAAGGAGTCCTACTGTAGACGAGAAATCTGAGGAGCTCTGGGCGAGCAGGGTCCGTCCACACTGAGCCACACATTCGGAGGGATTCCGGGAGGGCGTTGGAAGACACAAGCTGCGTGGAGGGTGACTGGCGTGCAAGGATGCAGAGATGCCCAGTCCTCAACCATGCTTTCGAGAAGTGTCAGCACACAAAGTGAAGAGATGAGGCAGAAGCAACCAGGATCCCGGGTTAAAAGAAAATACTCATTTTGTGAATTTTGTTGTCCCTAAAGTGGAAGAAACAAATATGTTTCAGGTTCAGAGAAAACAAAAATGAAGAGTGTGGATGGGTAAAGAGAGAAAAATGAGACAACTGACACACCCACGGCTGACAAAGAAAATGGGGAGTTAACGGTTGCTCGGACGGATTCACTCTGGGTCCGCCTGGGGCACATCTGTGTCTCTGGGAAAGAGAGGGTGCTGTTGAGGATGGGTGATCCCCCTCCCCCAGCCCCCAGCCCTGCCAGCTCCGGGTCTTCATGACCTCGGAGCCACCCTGACATGGAACAATTCACAGAGTCACTTACATGGTGAAGCCCCGTGGTGCTAATCTGAACCCTCCAGAGCAAAGCCTGGCTCATGGCAGGAAGCATCCATTTCTGCGATGGGGTGATTTCTGCAGACAGGGAAAATACTCGAGGCCGCAGCATCTAGCTGGAGGGATTTCAGAATAGATCTTTACTTTAAAAGGAGAACTGGTACCTGGGTCTGGAGAGAAGTAGAATCCCAGGCCTATGGAGTGGGCCAGACCTGTTAGAGATGAGTCTTGATACCTTAAAATTATCCACCATTTGACTGTTTCTTGTTGCAGAAAGAGCGCCAAAGACATTTTCCTGATGGGTGCCTACCCCAGGCTGATGACAAAAATTTGGAGTTGGGGGGAAAAAGGCAACATCAAGCCTTCAGATCTAACTTGTAAAAATGCTACATTGGGCACATGAGCTCTGAACTCTCTGTAACTGAGCAAACAGTTTAGTGTTTGAACCACAAGGAGTTTTTACTCTTTAATGGACACAATATTTAAGCCAGATGCTTTAGGGTTTTATCTTGGAAATGTAAAGCTACTTTTTAGTTTGAAATATTTTAGCTTGTATTCATATTAAACAATCACACTTTTAAACGGAAATACCACAATGAAATCATTTTCCCTGCCTTTGGCCTTTAGCAGAGAAAACTTAGAATGCGGTCTCTGCCACTGGCCGGTTCTGTGACCCTGGGAGAACGTCCTGAGATCCCTGAGCGTCGCTGTTGTCATTTGGAAATGGGGATGCTACTGATAGCAGTGTCACAGGGCCTTCTTCTGAGATTAAGTGATACAATGCGTGTGAAAAGAGCCTGGGCATCTACCTGCAGAAACAGAACAGGCTTTTCTTCAAGGTGTGACGGGGTGAATTCCAAAATTCTCTGAGGAAGGTGACTGAGACATCAATTGGAAAAGAGAGAGAAGCTGCCAAAAAAATGAACTTCCTTAAGATGAGTTCAAGGGAAAAATACTTGTTGTATAGTTAGAATCATCTTTAAAAATAAGAAAATTATAATGATTGGTTAAAAAGAAAAATAGTAATCCAAAAATGAAGATTTCTTACTGCTAGATAGAAGTTCACTGTATTGGCATTTGAATACTTAGGCAACCAGCAGTGGGGACCTTGAGACCAGAGCATTGCCCATGTATCTCAGAGGAGTTAACAGGTGTAAGGCCAAGAAGGCCAGGAGTCATTATTACACAGGTGAATTGAATTGGCTGTTGTGGGAGCCTTGTGGCTAAGGTCAAGGCCAATGATGAGCTGTAGGAACTACGGTTCAGAATAAGAAATGTAGTGCCTAAGACATATTGCAAAAGCAAAATAGATCATCCAGTTGGAGGAAGTAGTTATAAGCATTATGCTAAGGCACAGGCCAAGTTGTTCGGCAGAGTATGAGAGCGAGCCAGATCCCAGTTACTCAGACTGAAGAGGGACTGATAATACAGAGGGAAATACTGTCACTTTAGGCCTGAAAGAAGACAAGGCAGTTACCAAAGCTTGGAAGACGCAACCCTGAGA